CACGCGCCACCATGCCCAGCTAATTTTTTGTATTTTTAGTAGAGACGGGGTTTCACCTTGTTGACCAGGATGGTCTCAATCTCTCGTGATCCACCCACCTCGGCCTCCCGAAGTGCTGGGATTACAGGCTTGAGCCACCGCGCCCGGCCGGGATTTGTTTTTTAGCATATTATGTTCTTGTTTTGTCTTCCAATTCTTTACATTGCTCAGGAAGGTATAATTTTATAAATTAGTATAGTTTATGGTTGATATCATTGTTGATAATTAAAAAAATATATAATCTCTCGGGGTCTATAGATTATGGGACTTGAAGGAATTCCATTTTGGGTTTAAATCTCTCATCTCATAAGTTGTTTTTCCTTTCTCCTGCCTGTAGTAGGACAGTGGATATTTATCTTTTTAAGCAAAAGAATATTTAATATTTATAACAAAATCATCTCTGGAAAAATGATATAATAAGTGTTCTTAAATGTGTGTAGAGTGAAGACAGTGTTAGACGGTGTATGCGACCTCTATTCCTCTGCACGTCTAATAGAAGGTGAGGAAAATAGAGGCAAGCTTTCATTTCATTCCCTTTTACAAAAGTACAACTGACCAATTTCCCTACACTTTATCTGAAAATTATTTCTTTATAACTTTTACAAAGCTAAATGCACAACTCACAAAACTGGCAAAAATTGTATGTTGAATTTCCAAAGGTTGTATGCTCATAAGCAAGTGTAAGTTAATTGCTGAGTGCATTTCTTATTCTTAATTTTAGATTAATGAATTGAAAATTAAGTGAAATTGAACATGTATGGGAGATAGGTCCTTCAATATAATACTAACTTGCATTTAAATGATTTTTATCACATTTTCCAATCATCGTTGCTTACATAACGTTGAAGAGTGAAGGAAAGGGTGTTTAACATTTCAACATACATTGATTGAAACATGGTTAATATGATAGGCCGAGAGACTACAAGGATGGAATACAGTCACAAAATAATAATTTAACTTTGATATTTGAAAAATGTCTACTCAACACTTTGGAAACCTTAGTTTGTAAAGAGTGTTCAATGTTATTTTTTACAGAGTTGGCATTCAGAAAAGCTTTTTCAAATGATTATTAAACTACGTGGACAGTAATCTGAAAATAATATTATTATTATTTTACTCTTATTTCTTGCCATAACTATATTATATATCTTTCACACATTAATTTTATTTGTTTTCATTTTTAAAAGGCAAGGAAATGACTATGGAACAGTGTAGCACAGAGGTTAAACACAGGCTTCAAATCCTACTTCCTTTTTTTACTAGTTGTGTGACCTCGGGCATATTATTCAACTTCTCTGCGTGTCAGTGTTTCCATCTGTAAAATGGGTGACTATCACATAGGGTTGCTTGTCAGAATTAGTAAATTATTACCTGTAACTTGCTTAAAAGTGTGCTTGGAAAACAGTAAAAGCTGTATACATATCAACACAGTTTTTAGGTGACTTGTCCAGCATGGCAGAATGTAACAAAGTTGGGATTTGAATATGGATTTGTCTGAATCTGGAATTCAAGATTTTAACTGCAACATCCAAAAGACTTTTTATTTCAGAGAATGTATTTTATCTATATAAGTGAAGCAATGAAAATAGAAGGTTTAAAAATGGTTAGAATTGTGTTTCTTTGCATGAAATTCAACAATAGCTTGCAATTGGCAATAGTTCTTAGAATCATTTCATATATAATTGCACTTTGTCTCTCAGAAGGCAAGCTGCTGGGCAGATTAAGGAACTAGAGTTATAATTATTGTATATTATTATTAATTGGCATCTAATACATTGCTCAGAACAGAGTAAATATTCAGTGGAGTCTTCTTTCTCATTTACCTAAAACATGCCTGGTTCAGAAATTGATTTAAGACATTTCCTGGTCCTTATCACTTCTATTAAGGCATGATTTCATTTTTTAAAGTTTAGTAAGTTCTTGGTACTTCCTAGAAAGGTAAAAGGCAAAGATAGCATGATTTTCCTTTTTCAGAATAAATTTGCCCATTTTTTAGAAAATTGTTGCTATCCAAAATTAACATACCCTTTCAAGATGACTGTTTGATTATTTTCTAAAACAATATAAAATTTTATTTAGTATCTGTAGTTAAGAACTATAATGTCACATATACATATTTTATAGCTTTCAGTGATTGTGGTTAGCATTCACACAGGATTCAGGCTAAGGAGTATGATAGATATCAAGTAGATACAAATCAATCCTTTATTACAGAGAAAACTTCTTTTTAAATATGCTGAATCTTTTAAAATAGGGATTCTCTGTTAGCAAAGATTATATCAATAAAACCTACAAGGAAATTATCCTTCTGGATAAAAGTACATTTTTTCCCTAATCTTCAGCTGTGGTTTTGTTGACTCCTCTTTTGAAATAAATGAGACTGGTTACCACTTTTTTTAATTGCATAAAAGAAGTATTTCTTAATCTCGGTTGTACATTAGAATGTCATGGAATGGACTTAAATTACCCTTGTCTGGACCCCACTAACATATTTAATTCCTGATAGGTGGAATGTGGGCATCACCTACTCTAAGTGATTTTCATGTGCAGTCAGAGTTGATAACCATGGATCATATCAGGGAAAGAAGTCAATGGGATAAGAAAGGGCCTTTTCTCCTCAACAGCACTAAATGCCTCTTGAATTTGTTTCCCTTTTATTACTTCACAAACCTTAAAACTACCATCAAAAATGTTCTGGCATACAATTTTCTTCCAACACTTTGCCACAAGACTTGACAATGTCATGTAATGTTAAGATAAAAAATTGAAAGAAGTTCTTCATGGGCAGATCATGTCTGATCAGAATACCAGGTGAACTGGATCCCAGGGACCTTCACCTTCCAATGATTGAGCTTGGAGACATCCTACAGCCTTTCTGGCCTTCCAATTCCTTACCAGCACCTTTGCCTAGTCTCCAGCCTTTTGTGTCATTTTTAACATTCTTAAAATCTTTTTACTATTCTGTCAGGGATCAGTCAATGTCTCACAGCTTGTAGTCATCTGAGTAAGGGGATTTGGATTTTTTTTTTTTAAGAATAGCCAATAGTATATTTTCTCTTGAAACAAAATGACCTTTTCTATGGGCCAAAATTTTCCAGGCCTCTGGAAGAATAAATCCCTACTCTTACTTTCATACAAACTCTCTTCCAACATTCAGAATACGGTTCCCCATCGAATCCTCTAAAAAGTGCTTGCTGTTCCTATCATTGTCACACCATAGACCAGGCCCACAGCTATCCAGACGGGTCCCGTCCTGTAGACAGATGCCCCTAACCTGTGCTTTAGGCTATTTGGAACAATTTCAAATTTTTTCATCATACTTGGCCACCATGACTTTGCTTCATACCTCAGCTGACTCTAACACAGTTCATTAGAAGCCATTTTTCTTACCTACTACTGCCAACACCTTCAATTTTCCTCTCAAAATACGATCTCTTTAAGATTTCCTAAGTGTATAGTCATCACTAAATGCTTAAGAAGCCATGAGTCAAAAGGACAAGTAGCTTGACTGTCGTGAATTTTCCTCCATAAATCTTGACATAGTATATACAAAAAAATAGCAGTAAGTCATTCTCTATTACTTATGCTATGCTTTTTGAATTAGTTTGCAAAAGAAAAAACAGGAGCAGACATTTCTCATGAGGAGTGCACACTTGAAATGTACTTGGCAGTAGGCAAACGAGAACACAGTAGCTGATGTCATATATGCATTGCATCTGTTCACAAACACTAGTGGCATCATTTATGTGAACCTTTTACATACTGAAAATTGCAAAGACTACTGCTGTGCTGTTCCTTTTGAGAAGCCGGCTGGTATGCAGCGTTTAATTAAGTATTTTAAAACCATCTTTTTGCAGGCCTGTTCCACTTTAGCAAAAGTTATGACAGCTTGTCTCTGTTAGTTTAAAAAAGGAAGGCATGGTTTATTCTCTCTTTTTCTAACTCTCTCACAAATACAGAACACTAGTATTTTTAAGTAAAGTAAAATAGCCTATTCTCAAAATCTATAAACGTGTTATTTTAATGTGCTGTCAGTATAAATCGACATATAAAATAATAATTTGATGAAAACAATCTATCTTTTAGTATTATAATTATTTTAATAATTGTGGTGCATTAGTGAAATAAAAACACATTTCCTCTTCCTCTGCCACCTTTTTAGTGTTATGGGACATTCATAGCTTGAAAGAAACCACCACAAAACTAGTCATTTCATCTGTATCTGTTAAATGAATTGCCTTTCCCAGACACCTAATTTATCCAGAGAACATCTCCTTGGTCAGTATTACAAACTATTTTTATTTTCTTATACTTGATTTTTAATAATTTGCCATGTCACATCTCTCATCAGAGAGGGAATATCACATTCCATATTTCTTCATTTCACTCTTTTCTTTTTCCCGCTCATACTCTAGATTGAAAACTTAACTAGGTAAAGAATTGGTCCAAATCTTATTTGAATTATGGACACATTATTCTCAGCAAAATAAATCTTGAGTTTAAATTCCATTATCTTGTATAATTTTTTTAAATTCAATCTTGGTAAAACATGCATATTTTATAGATATGACCTATAATTTTTCCCTGGATGTTTGTGTTTGGCAGGAGTCCACAGACTTTGCTAACAATTTTAACAGATAAGCTTTAATTTAATAACTACCATTTGGTAATTAGCCAGAGTAGCATTTCAAAGTGCAGTTGATATGATTTGGGTGGATTAATCTGTATTCTAGAAAATACAGGGCAGTCATATACATACTGGTGTTGTTACCCTCTTCATATTCATGCTTTTACCTGGGATTCCTGAGACACAGAATTTTTTATATTCTGCCGCAATCTACTCCCAAAATATCACTGATGACAAAACGATAATAATACTTGAAAACATTTCCTCTCAAGTTCCAAAGTTTTCAGTCAGTAGCAAAAAAGAAAGACGAAATTTTAAAGGTGCTGAGAAAAGCCCAGGGCTCGCAGCTAGTTTCAGTAACTTCAACTTGCGTAAGACCCCATGTTTGTGAAAACAACCCAAGAATCTGAACAGGATGTAATCAACCTCCGATCTGCTGAGAAATACTGCAAAAATGACTTCAGCTGCCAAAAATAATAATGTCGTTTACAAGCAGCTCTTCCTATGTCTAAGGAAGAACTAGTCACACATGCGAGTTTTTGCTGGCTTGAGAACAAGCAAGGAAAAAGACAAATCCCACCTCCCCAAGCCTAAAATACACAGAGAGTCTCAGAACCCCGTGGAAGCTGTGGCTCATTCCTAAAGGTGCCGGCAATATCGAGGAAGACTTGTATCCACAAAATTCCAAATGGTAAGTGACCTAGGACAGAGGGATTTTATTTGGCAGGAAATCTGTGCTGTCACTTTTCTTCCATAGCAAAGCTTCCCGTTTTGCGGAGGCAGAGCTGTTAAATACCTCTTAGTCACTAGCCCCAATCTATTTTTTTTTTTCTGTTGTTTTTCTTTTCGAAATATAATCTGGCACCTTCCCTTAAAGGACATCAAGGGCTCTGGAGGAAATATTTGCAAACGATCCTTTATATAAGTTCCATCACAAAAGCCCAGCACCTACCTCTGTCAAGTCTTGGCTGCTCAGTCCGCATGGGCTGGATGTGAAAAAAGATCCCGGTATGATGGCTTCTCTAAATTTACCAGAAAGAAAGGACCTGGGATGCTTGTCCTTTAAGTGTCTCTAAACATGGTTTGCATAGCTGGATCTCAGCTTATCTGTGCCTTTCGGCTTTCGCTTCCATACATGGATCTGTTCCCAACAGTAACTCCAAGCTGTCGAAAAGAAGCTATCTGGCAGCTCTCCGCTTCATCCAACACATGGATGATAAAAATACACATATAGCGATTCTTCCAGCCAGGCCAATTTCCCATCCCATGATCCTGCCACTACGCTTCTTCTTTTTTTTTTTTTTTTTCCAAAACACTTTTGATATTGGCATTTCTGCTCTCCAAATATTAGATCATAACCAATTTTTACCTGATTCTTACCTAAAGCTTTTAGGGTGTGAGTTTGCCTAGCTTTATGAAAACAGAGACAGTTATGGTTCTTTACTAGGGTCTTCATCCTTAAAGATTCTAGTGGCAGCATGCATATGGGACCTGTGAAATGTTTCATGAATGAGTGAATTTATAAACGAATGGCTGAACAGATGAATAACACTGTATGTGAATGAAAAAATACATACTTAATTGGGAATAGTTGTTAACATTTTGGATTATTTGTCTTCAAGGAAAAGATAGCAGAGGGTCAGAGTAATCAATATCTCTGAGAAAGAAGAAGCTGCTACTTTAAACAGCTTCTCCTGTAGGGTATTGTGGCAGCTCCCATTAGCTACTTTCTAGAACATGGTTTAAGATTTATAATTTATTTTAAAAAGTTAAAGAATTTGAATAGAATACTAATTGTTACATTTATTAATTGTCAGTGATAGTTTAAATGGCAGATTAACTGTGACCTAAATGTTAGGTGGAGGATAAATTCTGCTCTGTGTAGTGGAGAGGTATTCCCATAGGGGGCTGCTGAAGCTCTGCTTAACATCCCAGTTCTTTAAAAATGTAGCTTCTCATTTTAACATTTATTTCTCTTCTTTTTCCCCCTTGTTAAACTTTTGCAACAAGAGGCCAAAATATGGAAAGAGAAGAGATAGAATTTCAAAATAATAATTATCCATTGATTTTTTTTTGAAATAATGTTAAAACCTTATAGGTTCTTCTGTTTGAAGAAGCAAAAATAAATTAGAGGCATACATATAGACATAACACATTTTGGTGTGCCAGAAATGAAATGAGCTTTCTTGAAATATTCAGGAGGAATAAAAGGAGGGAATAGCCAAATCGAGACTGGCAAAAGGATCATGGTTGCAGGTGGTCATTGATGATAGGTACATAGGAGTTCTTTATATTATCATCTCTATTTTGTGTATGTTTAAAATTTGTATTAAAAATTGAAGGAAAAGAGAGGAAAGAGAATAATAAACAAATGTGTGAAAAAAGGCATAAAGTACAAAACGGATGTATTAATGGCAAATGTGGAAAATCCAAGATTTGAGTACTCTCTCTGCAAAAGCATTTAGGTCAGAACAAGAAGGGACAAGACTGTGTTTTTTAATTCAAAATATTCTGACATTCCAACCCCCTCCTCGCTACCTCCAATAATTCTGTGTAATAATAATTTGTATCTAATGAAAATTAAGATACAATATTTAAAAAGCCAACCTTATTCAGCTAGTGCTAGACATGGTAAATGGGTCCTTACCCAGGAGCAATTCAATGCTTTCTCTTCCCTTACTTTTTCTACTTTAGAAGTTCAAAAGCAAAACCCCTCTTTCTACTCTTCCCTCACACCTAGAGATGACCAGGTAACATAATAATGTCCAAATAGATGTCAACATGTTAAGGAAAGCTTGTATTTGTTAAAAAAAAAAAAAAAAGACAGGCTCAGCTTTTGCCCTCCTTGTTCCTGCACCCCTTCCATCTTTTTCCTTCCCAGAGAGTAAACTCGAAGCCTGAAATTTAAGCATTTCTTTGGTGATCAGGAGATGGCAAACACAAGGACAAAGGCCTACAAGGTGAGGTAGATGGAGCAGACAGAAAAAAACTGCAGTTCTTGCCAGGCTTGCTGAGTTACTACAACTCTGAATTGTCTGAACTGTCCCTCTAAACTTTCTGTCATGTGAGAAAAATAAAACGATAATCAGTACAAAAAGTAGATTCTTCATTACAAACTTAGGACCCAGAAAGCTCTGCTCTGGCTCTGACTCCATTACTACCTGAGTGACACTGATCACGTCATAGAGTTCTATTCCTTCCTCGGTTTTACTCCAGAGAACACTTGACCACTTTAGCCTTGAGTATTCCAATGAAATAATGCATGTTATCTATATTCATGCATGGTAAGAAGGTACACCAATGGAAGATGTTGCTTATTTAACATGCCAGGTGGTTGATACGTGGAATACACAGTGACTCCACAGTTAAATATAACAGTGCCCAGGAGTCTGCTTTCTGTTCAAAGAATTTGCAGACACTTTTTTGACTGGTTTAACTTCAAACTTGTTGGGAATTCTGTTCTGAAGTTAGGAACATCCCAGGCAGGGGATATTTGTGTTTGAGTATTCCAAAATGTGTTTGCCTATGTTGGGTCGGCCAGACTGAGTCAGCATGTTCTTGGTAAGTATGCAGTGGAGGTGGGCCACTTTCCTGCTTCACTTAGGCTAGGCAGTGCTCTAGAGAGAGGAAAGGCTCAGGAAAGCAGCCATGCTTGCCACTATTCCACCATCACCACTGGGAAGGCTCAAGAGACTCATTCCCAACTCTGGAGGATTCTGTGGGGTTCATATGCAGAAAAAGATCTTCTGTTAAAAGAGGTTAAACACCTATCATATCTCTAAAGAAAGAAGTTAAATGATTTTCTGTGAGCTTTGTAAATGTGGAAGTCAGGATTTTATATATTGACATTGATTTGCTTAACTCTGTGGGGAAGGATATATCATCTGGACGTGCTCTTTTGCCATGGGTACAAGATGATTATTTCAATGAAATAGTCTGCACCTTCTCGTAAAAGTATGTACACTCCACCTTTGTCTGCTGGAAGAACATATCTTCACTCTTAAAATTCAGCTCAGTATCTCTTCCTTTCCAAAATCTTTATTGACTTCACCATCATGTATTCTAAAGTATATATGGCATATTGCTGTACATTCCCTCCACCCCCATCTCCTCTTTGCATCTGGCTATTAGATTGTGAGTGCCCAGGATAAGGGCTCTGAATTATTTGCTTTTGTATTATCAGCATACATTGTCTGTCCTATAGAAAACAAACCTTAACATAACTTTCTTGAAGAAATAAATTCATTGCTAAGTGATTGAGAAGTGGGATTGAAAAATGGGTAAATGGTTGTACCTCTCAACTAGTGACCATAAGCCTGGCAGCTTTCCCTGTTGTATAGGCTTAAGAACTTCAAGTATACCACTGCCCTGTGGGTAAAGACTGTCAACTCAAAGGAGATAGAAAACAGAGTGTGACAAAATATTATCATAATCCTAATTTAACTGAGAAGATTATCTAAGGTTTCCAGTTATCCAAGGCAGAGGACCACTATATTAGCACAGATCATTTAGAGTGGATAACGGACTCAGATTTTTAGCACAAAAGAGGGGCAAGGTCTGTAATCTTTTAAAAGATTAGAAATTTCAATCCTTGGTAATTTAATTTTTTCTTCCTTTGTCTAAGAATATGGGGGAATCTTTTATAAAAGACTTGTTAAAACACACAGCAAGTTTTGAAAGAATTTGAAGGTCAATAGCAATGAAATATTTATCCCCTCTTTTAAGATTAAAAGCAATTATATTTAACCAATAAGGACAAAAAGTGAGGTCAATAATTTTCATGCATATTTTTCCTTTTGAATTTAGTTCCTACTAATATTATGACTCTGGGGCTGAATCCAGGATAAAAGTAATCTATAATCAGGCTCTCTTTCAGGGCAGAATGAGAATATATAAAGACTAGAAATGAGAAAAAGAGATTAAACAAGGCTTCCACTTATCTCTGGATTCTATTGGTTAGCATAGTGTTTTCAATCTATGTTTGTATCATGCATCAGTACTTCCTTCCTCTTTGTGGCTGAATAAAATCCTGTTGTATATATGTACCTTGTATTGTTTGTCATTTCATCTGTTAATGGATATCTGAGTAGTTTCCACCTTTGACTGTTATGAATAATGGTGCTAAAACATTCATGTATAAGATTTTGTGTGGACATATGTTTTTATTTCTTTGGGTATATACTTAGAAGTAGAAATGTTGGGCTATATGGAAACTCCATGTTTAATCATTTGAGAAACTGTCAAATTATTTTCCAAGCAGCTGCACCATTTTATACTTACATCAGCAGTGTAGGAGGGTTCAACTTCTCCACATACTCACCAACGCTTTTTGATATCTGACTTTTTGATACTTGCTATCCTCATGTCTCTGAAGTGGTATCTGATTGTGGTTTTGAGTTGCATTTCTTTTATGACTAACTTGAGGACATTCACTTCTATTCCTAGTTTGTTGAGATTTTTTTCTTTTTTTAAATCATAAAAATGTGTTGAATTTTTTCAAATGCTGTTTTAGCATCTATTGGGATGAACATGTTTTTTCTTATTTTTGATAATGGTAGAATATATTAATTGATTTTTGGACGCTAAACCAAACTTGCATTTCTGGGATATATCCCACTTGGTCATGGTGTATAATTCTCTTTATATATTGCTGGGTTCAGTTTGCCAATGTCTAATTGAGGATTTTTGTGT